TTCTGTGATTGACTTATTTCAGTCAGCATAATGTCCTCCGAGTTCATCCATGTTATGCATCCACCATAGATTTGATTACCAGTCAAATGGGGAATAACTACATCCAGCTGCCCAGTCACTGACAACCAGGCCCAGCAAAGTTGATACATAACCTTAACTACCATAGTTATTTTACAAAAAATTGTTTGAGAGACTCTCAGCAGGTTTGTAGACCAAATAATGTAAAGAAGATAAGTATTTCTTTTTCTTTTTCTTTTTTTTTCCCAATTGCAGCAATAAAACTTTTTTCTTAAATCCAATCCAGTGATTATAAAATCAAACAATACAATAGGGCTTAAGAAAAGCAATGGTTCTTTACCTTATCTTCCTCATCTCATATGCCTCATGGCAGCCACTTTAATAATTGCTGTTTTCAGTGGTTTCCTCCTTGGAGAAGGCTTGCTTCTGACCAGGCGCCAATATGTATTACCAATATGCATTATGCATATCAGCCATCTCAAAACAAGTAATGGTGATGACTTGTGTAAAGCCCAGGGTGGAGAGAACAAAAAAATGTATCTCTGAGCTGTTCATTTACTTTTTGGGGATGGGGTGTTAGTGACCACATGAGCCTGTATAGGCTCAGCTGGGTAGCAAGGAATTCTGTATTCTGAAAGTTTCCCAGAAGATGAAGAGGAGGATTTGGGTAGCTGGGGAGAGGAAGACAGTATTCCTAGCAGCAGCTGTCAGTATGATGTGTTTGGAAGAAAGGAAGGAGTTTGGCCTACTAGGGTTTCATTCTGTTTTTGAAAAGTAGAAATATTTTATAATATAGCAAGAAACTCCCTCTTCCAACCCACCAAGACCTTAGATGTTATAGCATGGATCAACAGCATACACAGGTGGACCGATCTGAACTGTAGGTCGAACTTTTTTGTTATTGCTGCTCTTCCAGGAGCTGGATCAAGTCTAGCCTGTCCCTAGCTGCTGGAGGCATTACAGGCTGTGAGCTGCCTTTTGTGGAACATCTGTGGCCCAGCCTTTTCCTCTGCCTTTGTCTGTGTTCTCATTTGCTTCCTTTTACCATTTTTATGAAAACAATAATTTATAAAAATAATATTAACCAGCTCAAAAAAGTAATCACTCATAATCCCAGTGCTCTAGTTGCTGCTTCTGATGTGCTATAAAATTTGCCATTTTAACCTTTTTTTTTTTTGTGTACAATTCAGTGACATTACATTCAAAATGTTGTACAGTGATCACCACTATTTCTAAAACTTTCCATCACCCTAAACAGAAACTCAGTACCCATTACTGCTGCTGTTTTGTTTTGTTTTGTTTTTTTTAATTTTTATTGTGATTTGGGTGAAAGTTTACAGAGCAATTTCATCTTCGCTACAGCAGTTCATACACATTTTGTCTCATGATATTGACTACAGTTCCCCACAATGTAACAGCTGTCTTCCTATTTCCTCCTCATAGCCATCGTTTCCCTGTGTCCTTCCCTCCCGTGCACTCCTGCCCCCGAGTGGTCTCCCTGTGCATACACTGCCCTTCTGTTCTCCCATGATTGCTCTCTCCAAGGAGTGTATTTACCTGATGTAAATCTGGCTGGAAGTCACAGGAATGAGTTCAATTCCAGATCTGAAGGGCAGGTAGGGGGCATAGTCTCAGGGGTTTTACCAGTCTCTATCAGACCAGCAAACCAGGTCTTTTTTTTTTCAATATATATAATTTTGAGTTTTGTTCCACATTGTTTTCCTACTCTATCCAGGGTCTCCTACACAGATCCCCTTCTGAGTGGTTGACAGTGGTAGCCAGGCACTATCTAGTTCTTCTGGTCTCAGAGTCATATGGTCTGAGGATCACATAGTCTGCCAGTCCCTTGGACTAATTTTTTCCACATGTCTTTGGTTCTCTTCTTTCTTCTTTGATCTGGATGAGGAGAGACCCATTGTTGCATCTGGCTGGCTGCTTATAAACTTCTAAGATCCCAGTTGCTATTCACCAAAATAGGATGTGGAATAATATTTTTGTGTATTATGTTATGCCAATTTAGCTTGATGTCCCCTGGGACCATGGTCCTACACCCACAGGTCTAACTTCTCATTCCCTCTGGGGGGAGTTGGCTGTAGCCAAGAAGTCATCACAACCTTGTCCCTTGTCAGCTCTACTATATACCTGGACACACTTATAGGAGATGCAAATATGTTTGTAGAAACATTGTCTGCCAGCCCTGTACATAGTCATGGGCACGTTCTCCCCTGTCTAGACATACCTGATCATTAAGCCTGTCCATCCATCTATCCACCTGTAGATCAATGTTTGCCATCACTGACAACGTAGTACTGTGTGTGCAGAAGGGTTCATCTTTGTTGTCTGCACCTCCCATGCACCTCTCTGTGTCTTCTTACTGCCTCTGTGTTTAAGAGTATTTTGGAAGCAAAGTGCAAGTTCTTTGAGCCTGGAGTTCCTATGAGCCTTCCCAACTCTGCTGTCTGTCCCTTTCCTACCTGTTTCATGAAATTTGGTGAACTTTTGGCCTTCTCAGTACCACTGATTAGTTTGGTCTTTTTACAAGCATCTCTACCTGCTGTTAGGCATGGGCGGTTCTGCCTGGGCTCAAGCCACCTCCCTGGGCAGTTTGTCATTTGGGTTGTGCTTGGTTGCAGGAATGATGGGACAGAGTTTGGCGGCTCCATTTACCAGAAAGTGAACAAGAAGTTGGAGACTGCTGTCAATCTCGCATGGACAGCAGGCAATAGTAACACTCGCTTTGGAATAGCAGCCAAGTATCAGATCGACCCTGATGCCTGCTTCTCGGTGGGTACCTGTGGGTCATGCATCTCATGGGACATGGAACATACCTGATCTTGAGGATGGAATCCTTCAGGATTGCTGGAGTTCATGCTATGGCTTAAAGGTTATCTCACTGTGAAAAGAGTTCAAAATGACTAAAACAGTAATAGTAGTAGTCCCTACTATGTGTGTCAAGCACCTGTGCTCTTTATGTGTGCTTACTGTATTTAATCCTCACAGCAACAAACCATTTGAAGGAGGTACCCTCCCCCGCCAGTCATCTCTGTTTTTACATATGAGGAAATGAAAGCTTAGAGAGGTGGAGTAACTTGCTCAAAAGCACACAACTGGTAAGTGGTAGGGCCTGAATTTGATCCAGACTGGCTTGCTGTTACACTTCCTCCTTTTAACCAGTCACTGTCCCATAATGCCAGTATCTAGGTGGTGTAAAACGTTAAGCACTTGACTACTGACTGAAAGGTTAGTGGTTCAAACCCACCAAGTGCCATCTGGGAAAAAAGGTAGGCCATCTGCTTCCAAAAGGTAACACCCTTCAATACCCTGGGGAGTGTTTGTACTTTGTACACATGCAGTTACCATGAGTCAGAATCAAGTCAAACAGCAACTGTTTTTCTTCTTTCTTCTTAACTCCATAATGCAGGATGTAAAGAGGGATACCCTGAAACCTTAGATTTTAAGTGTTTACATTCCACTCCCTCATTTTCATCATCCTGCATTGCATATTAAGAAATCAGGCCCTGGCAGCAGGCAGTTGGCATCTTATCTTACAGACCCTGTGGCATTGTTCTTGAGCCCTTGGGTTGCACAACTTTTGCAATATATCCTGTTGAGTTCATCTCTGTTATTATAGGGACTGTAGGCCCTTTGACCCCTTTGAGGGTGGCATGAGGAAATCTCATGTTGCACAGTGGTTTATGGGCTGGTTTGTATAATTTATAGACAGCCCATTTCAACTCTCCTGTTCAACGTCCTGTGTTTAGAAGGTATGAGCCAAAAGGAATAGCTACAAGGGGCACTGGCTCCTAGGAGCCCTTTCTTCCTCATGCTTTGTTCTTTCTTACAGGGGGCATCAGGTCTCAAAACTCCATTTGAGCAGGAAAACATGTACCTTAGCAGCCCTAGCATCTCTTGGAACTTGGCATTCTCATAGTCTGAGCTTGCTCTGCTCCTGCCACTTATAATTCACCAGAAAGGGGGCAGGAGGAAGTCCTGATTTTCCTACTACCCAGGCAGAGGAACAAGGGCAACATTATCATTGGCTCAACTGCTTTATTGAACTTAATATTCAGTATTGCTAAAATTTAAATTATTGCCTGGCTTGGTCATCCTTTTATTCTACTATACACTTAAATTCAAGCTTGTTTGTGCTGAACCTTCTTTATGTCAGTGTGGTTTTTGCTTCTCTTTTTCCTGAAGAGAAAATCTTAACAATGTTCTGCCTAAAAAGCCTCAGTACCCAGACTGGCGTTTGCTCTGTTTTTCTTCATCTCAACAAACAAATCTTACAGCAGTCATTCATTTGAGGCAGCCTTTTTGAGCCTTACCTGTCTGGCCCTAAATGAACGTGTCCTCCTGTACTCTAACTTAAATACAGACCTGCTCAGTGTAAATGGGGTTGGACCTTCGAGCCTTCAGGAATCAAATACAAAGAATGACTTCCTTTTAGTTGAACATCATGTTGATGTAAAACCATAAACATTGGAAAATGGACTGACTCTTTGAGTTTCCCTCTTGAGGCCTAACTTCCAAATTTGATATACTGAAGTTAATAAATCCCAAAAGCAAGGAGGTTCTCGTGAAAATAGACAACTTGATTCAGAAGTCCAGAATTGGCTGGTTAAAGAGCTCATGTTTATTTTGGAGACAGGACATGTGAAGAACTGAACATTTTCCCTTTCTTGTCTTTTCCCTGACTAGGCAAAAGTGAACAATTCCAGCCTGATAGGTTTAGGATACACTCAGACCCTAAAGCCAGGTATGTGTGAACTGTGTATGAAATCAGGTCTTTGTGTTTAAAAAAAAAAAAAAAAAAATTGTGGTGTCTGTTTGCTGGTTTGTGTTACTGCTTATAGAATGTTCATATAAGACATTAAATGAGTGTATATAAAGTTTTATAATTAAATATTATAAAGGAGTTCAGGGTCATTAGAAAATATTTAGAGAATATGGAAAGTAATAAATGGGGATAAAAACACAGAGGTCTAATATGTATTACATTTTTCTCTATTTTCTTCCATCTCCTTTTCCCCCAGTGTGTACAAAATGCTTAATATTATTTCCAGCAGGTTCTCAGAACTAGTTCATAAATCATCCCCAATGTAGAAAAACTAAAGAATAGGAAAGCTGCTTTGCAGGTTTCCCCTGCACAGCCTGTTAGGCTACTCCAGGTGCATTAGAGCTCTAGGGGATCATGCCACCTTGGGGTTATTTTGGTCCAGTTGTGCCTTTGAACCATGGAAGTGTAAGATTACCTGATGTCAGAATCAAGCTACTCTAGGGAAAATTTCTGTAAGTTATGTTCATGTGCATGTGTGTGTGTATGCACACGTGTGTGTGTTGTGAACGCATGTGTAATACCTCAGGTTCTGATGCAGGCTTTTTCTTTCAAGGAGCTGAGTGGTACCAGCTATAGAGATTAGTTGTAGCAGGGGCACGATGAGAGGGAGATGGAAAGTGAGGTTCTCCGAAGTGGATTTGGGAAGGCTCCCATGTCTGTGGAATAAAAATTACAGTTGTTTTATAGCCTCCCTGAAGGACACCTGTGGTCAGACAGTGTTAAGTAGTAAGGACTGAAATGCCAGGTGGTCTTGCTAATGCTGAGCGCACCCAGAATGAGGTTCTGAATTTGGGGTGGTTTTGCCAATGTGCTTTACCCTCCCTCACATGTTAACCTTTCTTTTCTTTCCTCCATCCCTCCCTTTCCTCTCCCTGGATTTTCCCCCTGCAGGTATCAAACTGACCCTATCAGCTCTGCTGGATGGCAAGAACGTCAATGCCGGTGGCCACAAACTTGGTCTAGGACTGGAATTTCAAGCATAAATGAATACTGTACAATCGTTTAATTTTAAACTATTTTGCAGCATAGCTACCTTCAGAATTTAGTGTACCTTTTAATGTTGTATGTCTGGGATGCAAGTATTGCTAAATATCATGTTAGACCTCCAGGTTAAGGATGATTCAGCTTTAAAGTATTACCCTTTCAGAGGTACAGAAGAAACCCAATTCCAAAAAGGTCTTTCAGCTGTAGACTTTGGAGGGGGACTAGAGATGTCAGGGTTTTTTTTTTTTTTTTTATCTAGAAATGGCTGCAAGTGGAAGCTGATAATATGTAGGCACTTTGTAAATCCATATTGAGCAAATGAATGAAATTTTGACTTCCTGAGAATTGAACCTTGCTTTCCTAACCCTGAGGAGAAGCCATTGCTTGATGGTGTGTACAAACTCATCAGAAAGGGACTTTTTTAGACAGCTCTTCATGACCTATTTCCACCCCAGTTCATCACCTCTTTACACCAAAAGTAGTCTGCAGGGTGTGGTAGCTGGGTGTTTTTTTCCCCCCTCCCTTTGGTGCCATTTTGGAGAGGGTAGATGTGATGAAGCCAATAATTCAGGACTTTAATTCCCTCTCGTGGTTTTGTGCCCTTGCACCAGAGTATGAAATCGCTTCTAAGAGCTCCAGCCACAAGCTGGGAAGAGTCTCTCTGACTGTAATCACATGGTGACAACACTCAATCTAATTTGGACTTGTGTTCACCACTCAATTTTTTTTTTTTTAGTTGTTTAATGGGTACATTTTAGAGTCTTCCATTTTGTGTGGAATTAGATCCTCCCCTTCAATGCTGTAATTAACATTACTTAAAATAAAACTTGAATAAAATATTGAAACCTCATCCTTCTATTGTCTTTATTAATAAAGATATAAAGGAAATTGAGTATTTGTTTTGATTTGTTCTTTTGCCCCTTGCTGTATCTATGTGTGTGTGTGTGTGTGTATATGTGTGTGTATATATATATATATATATATATATATAAACACTGATGTCGAGTCAATTTGGACTCACAGTGATCCCTCCTTGGGTTTCTGAGCAGTATCTCTAGGGAAGTAGATTGCCCAGTCTTACTTCTGAGGAGTACCTGGTGGGTTTGAACCACCAGCCTTTTAGTTAGCAGTCAAATGCCTTAGGCACTATACCACCAGAGCTCTGTGTATATATTAATTTTCTGTTATATAACAAACTGCCACAAGATTAGCATCTTAAAACAATACTCATTTATTTCACAGTTCTGTAGGGCAGAAAGGAGCTCTGGTGGCACTGTGGTTAAGGTATTGGGCTACTAACCTAAAGGTTGGTGGTTCAAACCCACCAGCCACTCTGTGGGAGAAAGATGAGGCAGTCTGCTTTCTTACAGATTTATAGCCTTTGAAAACCCTATGGGGGGTCACTGTGAGTTGGAATTGACTCAGTGGCAGTGGGTTTGGTTTGGTTTGGTAGGTCAGAAGTCCAGGCATGACTTGGCTCAGTTCTCTGCTCAGATTCTTACCATACTGATATTGGCGTGTCAACCAACTGCTTTTTCATGTGGACCTCGGGTCCTCTTCCAGGCTTACATGGTTGTGGCCAGAATTTAGTTCCTTTCTGTTGTCAGATGAAGGTTCCCCTTTCCTTGCTGGCTGTTAGCTGGAGTCTACTCTCAACTCCTAGAGGTCACCTGCATTCTTATCCATGTAGTCTCCTCCATTGCTAAATCCAGGAACAGAAAACTTCCCTAAGCCATATCTTCTCCCTTTGAATCTCCTCCAGGAAGAGCCCCAACTCTTTTAAGGGATCACCAAGGATAATTTTCCTTTCATAAAGTCAACTGTGCCATGTAACAGTCCAATCACAGGAGATGAGTCCCTGGGTGGTTCAAGTGGTTGATGTTCTTGGCAGCTGACTGAAAGGCTGGCAGTTCAAGTTCACCCTGGGGTGCCTCAGAAGAAAGGCCTGGCAATTTTTTTTTCTTTATAATACTGTGTTTTAGGTGAAGGTTTGCAGAGCAAATTAGTTTTCCCTTTAGCAGTTTTAATACAAATTGTCCTGCGCCAGTGGTTACAATTTTTAAAATGTGTCAGCATTCTCATTATTTCCCTTTTGTTCTGTTTCCATTGATCTTGCTTCCCTTCCTGTCCTTGCCTTCTCTTTGCATTTGGGCAACTATTGACTGGACTCATATAGGTAATTTTTCAAGGGAGTGTGTTACTCATAGGTGATACTGCTTATAAGCCAATCTATTTGGCTGAAAGGGAACCTGCAGAAACAGCTTCGGTTCCAAATTCAAAGGGTATCTTCAGGTGATACAGTCTTGGGGGTTCCTCTAGTCTCTTGGTCCAATAGGTCTGGGATTTTTTAGGAATTTCAGTTTTGTTTTACATTTTTCTCCCATTCTACTCAGGAGTTTTATCGTGTCCCCAGTCAGAACAATTGGTAGTGGTAGCCGGGTATCACCTAGTTCAGGTCTCAGAAGAGGTTGTGGTTCATGTGGGCTATTAGTCCTGTGGACTAGTTTCTTTCAACCATTGATTTCTTTCATTCTCTTTTGCTTCATATGAGTAGAGACCAACAGTTGTATCTTAGATGTTTCCTCACCAAACTAGGATTTAGAACATTATAATTGTGAACCATGTTATGTCAATTGACTTAACGTTTTTCCCCCAAGACTGGATGGTCCCAAGCCTTTTGACCCAGTGATTGTCTAGGGAGCCTCGGTAATGGTGCCCCTTAGGTAGTTTGTTATATATGTGGATAGACATGCAGCACACACAAATGTGTGTATACATATCTGGTAATCTGAGAAATTTGTTGAAAATTCTGGGACAGAGTTCTACTCTGACACATGGGGTTGCCACAAGCCAGAACTGACTCCACAGCAACTGATTAACCGCAAGAGTAATAACCCATCATACAGGTCCATACCACACTCAAGGGTAGGACATCATACAAGGGTGTGGTCATTAGGGGGTTCATTTTGGAATTCTGTTTATGTGTGTGTGTGTGTATGTATGTATGTATGTATGTATATATATATATATATAGGAGCTCTGGCAGCATAGTGCCTAAGGCACTTGACTGCTCACCAGAAGGCTGGCAGTTCAAACCCACCAGCCACTCCTCGGAAGGAAGGCTGGGCAATCCTACT